GATTTGGAATTAGAGAAAATTGATGGATTTGTTTGATTATAACTAGCAAATCAACAAAGAAAATAAGAAGCAATGAGCAAACTAAGGCCGATTCAGCAAGCCTGAGAAAACCCAGATCTGGGTTTCAAAAAACCCAGATCTGGAGAGGAAGAAGGGAAAAGAGAGAGAGAGAGAGAATAAGAAGAAGGAAAAAGCGCGAAAAAGTCCCGCGCGACTACTGTACAGGTGGGCCCCACTGCACACGTGGCGTCCACGTGTGCAGAACATAAGGAAAAGTCCCCTCGCGACTACTGTACATGTGGGCCCATACTGTGCACGTGGCGTCCACGTGTGCAGAAAATAAGCCACATCATCAAAAAAGGCCTCCACATTGGATTACTGACGGCACATAGTGGGCACGTCAATTTCTGGGTGCCACGTAGTGCATTCTGTAAAGGTGCCGTGACGACGCGTTAAAATGTTGGGTTTTTCACGGGTTTTGAAAACTTGAAGGTGTGAATAGGAAGGAAAATATTTGGAAGGTGTTGACCGTGGAAAACAATTAAGTGTAGGGTGCAAATAGAGGCTTTGGCCTTCAAAATATGAATTATTTTTATATAATTAATTATTTTTATTTAAAGGTGTATTTATAATTTAAATATATTTACTCATTTAATATTATATTATATTTATGTAGTTTTATATTATAATTATAAATTATTAGTGTTTATTCACCTTACCTCTTAAGGATTAAGAGGAAAATCACTTAAGGATTAAGAGGAAAATCACTTAAGGATTAAGAGGAAAATCACTTAAAAACTAAGTAGTTTTAATAAAGTACTATAAGAAAAAATTAAGAAAAACACTTTAATTCATACTTTAAAAATAAGGTATTTTAGTTTTTTTTTTAATGTGATTTATTAAAACGACGTAATTTTAAGATGATTTTTCTTTGAATCTTTAAGAGGTAAGTCATATAGTCACTATTTCCTAATTATAATTTTATAATTTTATATAATATTATAACTATATTACTATAAAAATTTGAAATATGATGTTAAAACTTGAACCTTATATAAATTGTTTATTTAGGTGGCTCAAAATTTTTTTTCTGAACAAATTATAATTTTAGAGATGAAAAGATTCAAAACTCAATTTTTGGGTTGAGAATGCACTTATAGCATGCTTTATAACCATCAAGTTATGAAGGCCAAGTATAATTAGGTTGCTTAGTTGAAAATGATGTATTTTCAAATTTTAAATTACGGTTTGAGATGATTATATAGTGTTCTAGAAGTTGTTTCTATATTGTACTATTACAAAAAATTATGTTAATATTTTTATAATTATTTTGATAAAGTATTATATATTCCTATATAATTATTAAAACATAAACATATTAATTAAAATAAATTTAATTAAAACAAAATCAATATTTTTAATTATATAGTGTGTTGAAAAGCTTTGTAAGAAAACAATTCCAAACGGCAGCCTTTCACATTTTATAGGTTAAAACTTAAGATAACCTTGTTTGGAAATTCACTCCAAAGAACCTTCTCACACACACAAAATGTCGTCATTTTGAATTTAAGAGTTTGAACTGGTACCTATTTCTAACCCTAAAACTATATACTTAATCAAAATTGACCCAAAAACAAATAATGAAGATAAAAACGTGTTGACTTTCCTTTTTCTTTTTTTTTTTTGTGCTAACCTCCCAGTATCCAATAATCATATGAGATCTCGATTAATTCAAAATCGAATCACGTCGAACCCCCATTTAGAGGAAAGCTCTCTTAGTGTCTGTTTCTCCATTCACAAGAGTCGAAATCGAAATCTTACTTAAGAGAAACCGAACTCTTTTCATTCGGATCAACATGTTGTAGATGGTAATGACTTTCTTATTTCTTAAACTAGAGGAGTTGAGAAGATTGAGTTGTGGATACACATAGTCATATATTCAAATGAAATAAAAGAGTGATGGATGATGCATGAAGCATCATGTGTCCAAACAATTGACATACAACCATTAATTGTTCTTCAATTGACTTAACCAATTCTTTTAATTAGTTAGTGGCATCAACAAGTTGTTGACAGGGTTGGTCTTTGACTAATAATGGGTAATGGAAATAAAAACATGGATATTTTGTAAGAATTATTTATTGGTACATCGTTGTTATCCTATAGGGTACCATAATGTACCATCTCATTAAAATATTAAAATTTCTACATGCCTTTGGACCATCGCAACATTTGGAAACTAGTGAGTAATTGAGTATTGATCAGTTTTCTTCTAAATATGAACAATATTAAATTATTAAATTAAATTTTCTTAAAGTTATTCAATTCTTTAGGAATAATAATGCTATAGGGGGAATGCTATAGGGACGGGTCGGTCCCCAAGGTGATTGGTCCCTATAGTTTTTTAATTTTTTTTTCTTAAATCTAAAATTTTAAAATTTACTTGTTGGTCCTATAATTTTAATTTTTAAATAATTAAACACCTACACTTTTAAATATTAAATTTAAACTTTAAAAATATAAACCAAAACACATTAAATACTAAATCTGAACAAAAAAATCTAAACCTTAACATTATAAAATATAGAACTCAAAAAATTTAAATCCTAACATCATAAAATATAGAATTCAAAAAATTTAAACCCTAACCACTTAAATAATAAATCTTAGAAGAACTTAAACACTAAACTCTAACACTGTAAACACAAAACTCTAAAAAGCTTTAAACCCTAACAATATTAGTTTAAATTAGTTTTAATTAAAAGAAAAAGAGTAAAGGGACAAAAATGGATTTAAATCTTTTTAACAACCAAATAACAAATTTATCCTATAAGAAAAAGGGCCTAGGCCTAGGTCCCCTGGCATTTTCCATGCTATAATTATAATATAATATAGTATTATTAATTAAATAAATATATTATATTATTATATAATTGAATATATACAATAAGGAAACCCAAATGAAAATAGTCAACTATAATTTTGCATTGGGAAGCCGAAGAAAGAACCCAATGTGAAGCAGTACAGATATCGTAACCCAAGTCCAGGCCCAAGTCAAAGCCCATTTCGGATTAGACTTAGGGACTTACAGAGTTGAGCGGGCTGCTGTTGTTCATATTGGGATTGGGCCCATACTGAAATTTGTTTTGGATAAAACGGTGCGTTTTACGGAAGGAAACAAACAGAGTCACCTGCAGCCTTACGCCGACCGGGAATGGAAAAATCAAAGTTTGATTTTTCTAATCTCGCGTCCAAACAAGAAGCAATCGCCGAACCGTCCATTGGTTCTTGGCCAACATCCCACAGTTTATCTCTCTTCCCTTTCCCATAACAAGGAGGAGACGGTCCGCTTCAAGAGACCAGAGAGAGTCCCCGGAATCTCAATTCCTCTGCAAAGTCTCCGTCGAAACAGAAGAAGGGGAGAAGGAGAAATGGGTGTTAGCAGTTGTTTGTGGTGTTGTAGACCAGTGGTTGTGGCCAAATCGATGGGTAAGGATTTAGGATTCGTGTCGACGAGGAGGGTGACATTTGGTGGTGGAATTCTTCCTGCAAGGTGGAAGGGTTCGAGGGTTTCCGGTGTCAGGGCTTCTACTGTTGATTCATACGAGAGTTCTTCTAATTTCGTCAAGCGCATGGAACAAGCCTGGTTAATCTCTCAGGTGAATTTCTCATGTAAAGTTGTGTTATTTCAATTAGCGTTCGTTATGCTTTAGCTTATGTTTGTGTTTTATTGGAATTGGGGATTTCAAGAGGATTGGGGTTTTAACATTTCTAAAATATGTGGTTGTGTTTGTGATTAATTCATTTTATTTGAGGTTATATGTGAATAGGTCTGCATCAAGGTGAATTGGCTTTTATTTGAAATTGGTTTTCTAATTGTTTAAGGAAGTGCAAGTTGAGAATTTTATTTTGATAGTAACCCCCTTGCTATTCCATAACCAAATTAGGTCCTGATTAGTATGGAATTGAATGGTATCGGACCTCATTTGGAGAAGCTCTCTCAGTGTTTGTTTCTTCATCCACAATACTCGAACTCAATTTATAATACTCAAACTCGAGATTTTGTTTAAGGAACCAAACTCCTTCCACTCAAACAAGTGCAAGTTGAGAATAGTAAAACGTATAGATGTGATTTTGTTTAGATGTCTCTGAAGTGGTTAAATGGAAGAAAATGCAGGATTGTTTGCTGAGATTTTCAGACTCTTTAATCATTGCAGCAACCAAGGCCCATTGCTTGTTGTTCTTGTGACTCAACGGGGCATGTTGAATGCAAATGGTGTGGTGGTACGGGCTTCTTCATTCTTGGCAATAACATGCTCTGCCAAGTTCCTTCCAGAAATACAAGTTGTGTGATTTGTTCTGGAAAGGTAATATACCAACAGTTTTATAGGTTCATGCGAATTTCCCTTTCATTTTGGCCAAAATCGCAAGATATACTGAAATAATGTTTTTACTTTTTACTATTATTATGATTTATTTAGGGTTCGATGTGCTGCGCAGACTGCAAAGGAACAGGATTCCGGGCCAAGTGGTTAGGGGAACCTCCTATTTCCAAGCAGTGAGCGATTCACTAATTATTTTGTCAGACTCCATTATTTCCATGTAGTGAGCGATTTACTAATTATTTTGTCATAGACTCCATTATGTTAATCACATTTGGTATTCTTTTTCTCAGCTAATTGGAAAAATCATGTATTGCATTATATGGAAAATTGAAAAAGAATGAACACATGATAGTTTTGTATCAACATGAATTGTTACTCGTATATAAGAATACATTACTTTATCATATTTGATTTTTTTTTTTTTTTTGTCCATAGCATTGCTAGTGGCAATCATTGAACAGCTTGTAGGACGTCTGAAACTGCTAGTTCTTGAAAACAAGACCATATAATGAGGGAACCAATGAAACAATATATTAAACATGAGAATACATGCCTTGTTATCATCCACTCAAATCATCATTTACAAGATAGTTTGAATAGCAATTCATTTGTTAATCAACCAAACAAACTAGTACACGAAATTCTTGATAAAACTATCATATTCACCTGATAGTTGATTTCTTGATTCACCATCATCTGGGGCTTGGATCAGCACATTCCAAATCATTAAGTGTAAGCACTTGTTAGTTACTTTGAACAATAGCTGAAAATAGTAATTTGTTAATATCCTCAGACTCTGAATCTTGTGTCCCATCACCTGCATATATACCACAACACAACTCTTAAGGAAATGGATGTAGATCTAGCCATCTGCTATGAGTGAATTATTTAAAAAAAAAAAAAAAACAATGGAGGATAAGAGATCTCTTCCATAATCAACTAAACAAGAAAACTTACCAATTTTTGACCTGACTTGAGCTGTCCATTCATCAATGATCTGCAGGAGCCAAATGCCTTAGTTGTAAGGATAGTTTCTCCTAAACCAGTGTGTGCATGTGAATAGTGATTGTGATAACATGCGAGTTTTCTAACAAAAAATCAACTTTAGGCTTCACCAACAAATTTAGAACTACCCATAAGACATCTCAGCATGGGTAATTAATTAGAAAGTGAAGTCTAGAATAGACTCTTCAATCTTGGTTGCTTGCTGGCAAAAGATGCAATAACTTTAAACATCTCTTGGAAAATAGGCAACCTTAAGAACTGGTAACTCTTAAACTAAAATAGCCAACCCACTTTCCCCAATTCTGGTTACTACAGTTATAGAATCAAAATGTTGAATATCCAACCAAACATAGTTGCAAATCAAAGGAGGAGGAGAGCAGATTAGAAACCTGGTTAAAGTTTGCAAACGCCGGATCATCAGAATCACCAGTGACTGTAGTGCCCATAACTCCTTGCATCCGGTGCAGTAAATTTCTGTTCCCAACAACAGTTGTCCTAGCCTTATCTATCAAATCCTGTAAATTGAATCAACAAACAAAATTCCATCCCAAATAAACTTGAAACAGTAAGTCCAACCTCCATTAACTAAAGGGTAAAAAGAAGTATTAAAATTTCGTTTATTTCTTATACAAAGTCAGTGATTTCTTCACTATGACCAATTTGATAATTAAAGATGAAAATGATCTTTCTCTCAAATTCTCAGGATCCAAACAGGAGGTAAGGAAGAAAGCACCTGTTTAGCAGACAAAAGCTCACGACACTGCTCTTGCAATGTCGACAGTTCCTCCTGCATTTTCTTTATCCTGGAGACCAGCTTCATAGGATTCGCCTGCAATTAACACTCAAAACACCTCAATCAGTTTTCTCTATCAACAAATAAAAGGAAAAAGGAGGAAAATGAAGTCCAAAAACCGAAAACCCCATCGTTTCAGCCGGAAAATTTCGGAATTCAGAACTAATTGAAGAGAAACACTAGATTTAGGGCTTACATTATCTGGATAAATCTGCTGAAACTCCTTCTCGAGCCTGTACTGAACGACGAGAAGATCATGGTTGGCTTTCGAGAACAAATTCACCAGACCATCCGTCGCTTGATGGTGATTTTGCTCGTGAAGATGACGATGACTCATCCTCTCCTTCCGATTCCGATTAGGGTTTTGAAATATTTGCCGCCTTAAGATACTTGAAGCAGTTGGGTGGAAATGGATTGAGCCCAAGTTTTAATTGGGCTGGAAACTGACTATTGCTCCAAACTTCGGGGCCCAAGAGTATTGCGGACTAGAGGGTAGGAATTCAATATTGGGCTCTAGCCGTACGGACTACTGGGCTTTCTCCGGCCTGCTTCGGCTTTCCCTCAACCTTTGTAGCACGTGCAGAAATCATCTTTCTTTTAATTACACTCCAGGATTAGTGTTTTGTGTATTTATAAATTGGCACTGTATTTTATTTTTTATTCCAAAACACCCCTCACTAATCAACTGGCTTTATATGATTTGAGGACAAACTGACTTCACTGGAATTCTCGCGAGACCTCTGATGGCGGACGAAGAAGAGAAAGTTTTGGAGAACCAGCTAGAGCTTCAGTTGAAGGA